ATTAAAAAGCCTCTGCACAGCAAAGGAAACAATCAACAGAGTGAAAAGCAACCAGCAGAATGGGAGAAAATATTTGCTAACTATTCATCCAACAAGGGATTAATATCCAGAATATACAAGGAACTTAACTCAACAGAAGAAAAACAAATAATCCGATTTGAAAATGGGCAAATGAGCTGAATAGACATGTCTTAAAAGAAGCTGTAAATGATCAACAGGTATATGAAAAAATGCTCAACATCACTAATATCAGGGAAATGCAAATTAAAACCACAATAAGATATTATCTCACTCCAGTTAGAATGGCTATTATCAAATAGACAAAAAATCCCAAATGCTAGCGAGGACGCGGGGAAAGGGAAATTCTTATACGCTTTTGTTGGGAATGTAAATCATTACAGCCATTATGGAAAACTGTATGGAGGTTCTTCAAAAAACTACAAATAGAACTACCATATTATCCAGCAATCCCACTGCCAGGCATTTATGCAACAGAAAGGAAATTTGCATATCAAAAAGGTATCTGCACTCCTGTGTTTGTTGCAGCACTATTCACAATAGCCAACATATGGCATCAACCTAGGTGTCCATTTACAGACGAATGGATTAGGAAAATGTGGCCTATACACAATGGAATACCACTCAGCCGTAATAAAAAGTGAAATCTTGTTAATTGCAGCAACATACATGAGCCTGGAAAAACTTGAAAGTGATGTTAAGTCAGGCACAGAAGGATAAATACTGCATGTTCTCACTCACGTGTGGGAGCTAAAAGGTAAATAAATGAATAACAATAACAATAATTTGAACTTTTAGAAGTAGACAGTAGAATTATGGTTTCTAGTGGCTGGGAAGTGGGGGAGGGGGATAGTGAGAGGTTAGTTTCTTAACATCAACTTCCACCTAGATAAGGAAAATAAGTTTTATGGTATACAGAAGCGCTAGGCATCTATAATTAACAATAATTTACTGCACATTACCAAATGGCTAGAAGAGAAGGGACCAAATGTCATGACAAAGCAAGGGTTATGTTTTGCAATGAGGAATATGCTAATTACCCTGGTGTTGTCATCACATTGTATACACACATCAAAATATAACCCTGTCCCCAGAAATATGTACAATCAGTACATTTCAATTAAAAATGTTCACCATAGAGCACAGCACCTAACAGGAACTTGAATGAGGGAGTGTGTGATCAGAAGAGCTGAGGGTTTTGGGAAGGCAAAGCTGAATCCATGTCCCCAGTGCCTCCCCTTGCAGGGCTCCTTCTCTGGCAGCAGCCACTCAAGTCCCTGCATGAAGTCCAGACTTGGCCTTCACTTGGGGCAGGGACAGAAACGCCCCTTCACTTCAGAACATTCCCTGTCCCATCCAGCAGGCTCTTCCCTCTGGTTTCTGAGGTCCCGGGATCAGCCAAGGCCACATGCAGGAGCCAGCTCTGCTCCACCAGGAGTCTCAGCCGGGCCAGGCTTGTCGCAGGACCTGAGCCTGGGACACATGTTCCTACCTCCAAGTGAGGCTGGGGGCGTCCCCCACAGGCAGCCTGGCTCTGGGGCTACAGGGAGGCTTTGGCCAGCTGGGAGTGGGCTGCATGCGGAGCCCCTCTTGTCTCCCGTGCCTGAGGCTGCAGAGCACAGAGGGGTCTTCCCGAACCCCACACCTGGAGGCAGGGGGACCAGGGATGAGTGACCCTAACCCAACTCTTGTCACACAAGGGCTGGCCAGCCCAGGGCCCGCCTCTGCTGGGAGAAGAAGGCCTCATTGTTCCAGTTTCCTGGAAAGTGGGGGCTGGGTTGTGCCCAGGACGGGGAATAAATGCTCAGTAAATAGCACTCTAGGGGAGCTCTGATCCCAAGGGACAAAGGGCCTGTGTTCAGCACTCTCAGTGTGGGCTCAGAGCCAGCACTTGGGCCAGGGAGGGTGTGGGGTGGACTTCTCCCACCAGGTGTGCTGCTCCGCAGGCCCGTCACATTCAGGTGTGCAGGCGTGTATGCATGTGTGCATGCTCCCGTGTGTAGGAGTAGTGGGCAAGTGTGTTGGGGGGTGCACATATGCGCATGCACACGTGTGTTGTCACGTGCACGTGTGTGACTATGTGTCTGTTATCACCATGCACGTGCACTCTGTGAAATGCACCTCGTGTGTGCATTTGACCAAGTCCTGGCATCGCTTCCAGACAGGCTGGCAACTCCCCACCACCCGGGACATGCTTCCTGGAGTCCTGGCCCAGCCAGCCTCTCCTCGTGGGCGCCAAAGCCCACCAGCGTGGAGTAGAAAGAAGACACGTGATCTGGCAGGAAAACATGCAGACGTGCCCTCTGGCTGGGCGGGGACCGGAACACCGGTCTGCTTTGTGCGTCTCCAGGCCCTGCCTCCAGGAGCGGTGCCTGCCAAGGGCTTGGGTCTCTTCCACCTCCACCTCCTCCTAGGGCTCAGGAGGGGCTCTGCTACCCTTCCGTGACCCAGCCTCTGCTGAACTGCAGGCTGGAGCGCGCTGGGAGGGGTGGGGAGGGTTGGGAGAGCAGGTGGGGGCTCGCCTCTGCTACATGGGTCCATCAGAGCCTGAGTCCTGACAAGCCTACCCAGGGTGACCAGAGCAGGAGCAGGACAAAGGGCCAGTTGTCTGGACCAAAGCGCTTCTACCTGGCCCCCGCTAAAGGCTGGTTGTTAAAGGGGCCCCATTCACTGTCTGGCCAGCACCATGGACAGGGCACACAAGTTCCAGGGTACGGTACAGGTATCCACCAGTGGTTGGCAGACTTTTCGTGTGAAGGCCACATAGGACAACTCTAGGTTTTGTGGGGTCATAAATCCCTGTCACAGACACTCAATGCCACCTGTGGCATATGTCACAAAATGTCGTTCTTCCTTTGCATTTTCATCTAACAGCTCTAACATGTAAAAAGCATTCTTAGCTCACGGACTGTGCAAAGACAGGCAGTGGTCAGGGTTGGCCTGCAGGCCAGAGTTGCCCTCCCTTGGCAGACTGTGCAGGTACCAGGTGCAGTAAGGGAGGTCCCACCTGTCCCTCAGCCCCTCCCCCACCGTCATGCCCGTGAGACCCACAGCCCCAGTTCCCAGTATGCCAGCACTGGCAGAATCAGTCTGTGCATATACAAGGCCGTTCTCTGCACCCCCTGACCCCACCCAGACTGTCTCCCTCCTGCGATGGATTTCACAGAGGGAGAACCTGCAGGACTTCTCCACGCCTCCGCAGGATTCCAATGTGGCGAGGACACCACCGTGTGTGTGCTTGGTCATCTCTAGGTGGACACATCTGTTATTTCCAATCTTTACTGCTTTCCAAAGAATAACATTGTACACCTGCCCACATGGAGTAAAGTCTTAGGCATTAACAGCCCTTAGATGGAGAAGCTCGTTGGATCCTCAGGGCAGCCCCATGAGTAGGCGCTATCATCACCCACAGGAGCCAGTTGAAGCTCAGAGAGGTGAAGTGAGCTGCCCCTCGTCACGGGCCTGGGAGGTGGGAACGCTGGGGCTCCAGTGCCCTGGGCTGATGGGGAGCAGAGTGGTATTACGCAGCCCGGAGTCCGAGTCCGCTTTTCACAGGGCACCCTCCCAGAGGGGCTGAGGGGGATAAGTGGGGAGGGACAGGGAAACACGTGAACTGCCATACCAGCAGGGCTGCCCGGGACCCAAGCCCTGGAGAAGCACCCATTAGCACCACATAAAGACTGACCCCTGGCCTGGCCCCAGGAGCCCTTGGAGGGACTGCCACCGTCATGCCCGTGAGACCCACAGCCCCAGTTCCCAGTGTGCCAGCACTGGCAGAATCAGTCTGTGCATATACAAGGCCGTTCTCTGCACCCCCTGACCCCACCCAGACTGTCTCCCTCCTGCGATGGATTTCACAGAGGGAGAACCTGCAGGACTTCTCCACGCCTCCGCAGGATTCCAATGTGGCGAGGACACCACCGTGTGTGTGCTTGGTCATCTCTAGGTGGACACATCTGTTATTTCCAATCTTTACTGCTTTCCAAAGAATAACATTGTACACCTGCCCACATGGAGTAAAGTCTTAGGCATTAACAGCCCTTAGATGGAGAAGCTCGTTGGATCCTCAGGGCAGCCCCATGAGTAGGCGCTATCATCACCCACAGGAGCCAGTTGAAGCTCAGAGAGGTGAAGTGAGCTGCCCCTCGTCACGGGCCTGGGAGGTGGGAACGCTGGGGCTCCAGTGCCCTGGGCTGATGGGGAGCAGAGTGGTATTACGCAGCCCGGAGTCCGAGTCCGCTTTTCACAGGGCACCCTCCCAGAGGGGCTGAGGGGGATAAGTGGGGAGGGACAGGGAAACACGTGAACTGCCATACCAGCAGGGCTGCCCGGGACCCAAGCCCTGGAGAAGCACCCATTAGCACCACATAAAGACTGACCCCTGGCCTGGCCCCAGGAGCCCTTGGAGGGACTGGCCTGGAGATTGCCCTCCCCCCAATCCTTTGCCCTGTGTGGCACCAACCCCACCTTTTGTGTCCTTCCCTCCCAGGCCTGTGAGCTCCTAACACTGGTTCATCCCCTGGTACACCCAGAGCCAGCACAGAGGGGTGACCACAGACATTTCCAAGTGACAGGACCTGGAGGACCAGCTCTGCGGTGTGTCTGGCACCTGGCTCCGGGCACAAAGAGCTGGACTCTCCACTCTGGCTCTCTGAGGTCAGTGAGGAGCTCAGCCTGGGCTCCAGAAACCCTCCAGACACCGGTCTGCCTGGGCCTGGATAAGGTCTTCAGCCTGGTTCTGCACAAAGCAGGAGACTGGGCCCCACAGGCTTTCCATGGGAACTTGACCTGCTGCCCCCATGGGTTGAAACCTGTCTGGCAGTGCTGGAGGCTCAGGCCTCCCCCCACCTCTGAAGTCAGGGTCGGCCCAGGTGCTGAGGAGACAACCCAGAGGACAGTGAATGCCTGTTGCTGTCCCAGCCCTGTTTGTGCAGGCTGCAGGGCCAAGACAACCAACGCCACATGTCCGGTGCCTCCCCCAGGACGGCTCGGGGATTCCCCCACCACTCAGCTCCTCCCGGTCCCCCAGTGGCCTCTCACTAATTCCTTTTGGAAGTGGGGAGGATATAAAGGGACAGATGCAGGGCTCCAGGTACACAGGACGTCCCAGTGCACTCTCCCTGCCTGGTAAGGTGCTCAGCTCCCATGGATGGGACCCAGTACGGTCGGGCTGGCCCCACGCTGGGAGTCAGGAGGCCTCTCCTCTTCCCCCAGAGCCTGGGACACGCCGGCCAGAAGCCATGCTGCTGTTGCTGACCCTCGCCCTCCTGGGGACCAATAGCTGCTGGGCAGCACGTAAGTCTGACCGGGTCTGCTCCCCTCTGGCCCATCCGCATGTGGTCACCCTCACCTCCCTCTATCCAGGAGACCCAGGGACTCAGCCCAGCCCCTGTCACAGACTAACTCCAGTCTCAGAACCGTCCTGTCTGCCTGGAGGGGCAGTGTCCCCTGTCCTGGGTGGAGATAGCTACATTCCGCTGTGTGGATTTTTCTCCCCCCGGGTTTTTCCATCCATGCAGAGCTGTACGGGAACAGAGGAGGCACGTATTTCAGTACCTCTGAAGACTACGAATATGAAATCACGGGCATTCGGGTGTCTACAGGTGGTTTGGGCCTGATTAAAAGGTGAGTAGGATCAGGGCTGTGGACCCCATCACCCTGTCCCAATTCATCCAACAGTTTCAGGAACTTAGGGGGTGTGGGGCCACTCACAGCCTCTTTTCCCAACACCCTCATCTCCCTCCTGATGAGTCTTTGGCGATGGTTGATTCCTTGGACTCGTGGAGCCACCAGCCGCCACCTTTGCAGTTGTCCCGTTCCCCAACCACCTGCTCTCCCAATCCTCACCAGCCCCATCTCCTCTGACTCCACCTGTAAGGCCTGCCCTTGCTGCCTGGGGTGATCACAGAGCATTTGCTGACTGTTCTCCTACCTTCCCCTTTCAACCCAAACTCAATTCAACCAAAAACGGCCTCTCAGTGTCGATGTCTGAAGGGAAAATAAAGAGAGGGTCTGTGGAAAGGAGGCAAGGGTCAGAGTGGACCACTGGCTGAGCATGAGTCCCCAGAAGTGTTAGAGGCAGAGAGCCCAGGGCCATTCCCCTAATACTGGGGTGTCCTGCTTCAGGTCTGGAGGGGATCTTTGCTCTGCACTTAGGGGGTGCTGGGTCATGGGAGAGGGAATTGTGCAGAGCTGCCCAACAGGAAAGGAGACGGTGTGGGGGGTGGCGAGCTGGAGGAGGGACGGCTCTGGGAAAGCACCAAGGTGAGGGGAAGGACGCAGATAAGCCCAGCTGGATGGAGCTGTGAGTGTGGGAAGTCACCTGCTTCTGAGGCTTGGGACATGCTCTGCTAGGAGTGACGGGCTCAGAACGTGCCAGCTTGGCTGGGAACAGCTGAGGCTCTGGACCCAGTGAAGCAGCCGGCACCTCCTGAGGGTCGTGATGACCCGGCACTGTGTGGAGCTCTCCTTGCCATGATCTCAGGGACTCCTCCCAAAGTCACATCCCCTTTGTAGATGGGAAACTGAGTCCCAGAGAGGCTGGGTGATGAGCTCAGATCACAGAGCCCATAAGAGGCAGAGTGAGGGTTTGATACCAATGAGTCATCTTAGGAACCCAGACAGCCTCTGAGGCCCAGTAACAGTGTCTGAGATGGAAAGGTGGGGGGCGGAGGACCCGGGAATGGCTGGGTCACCCCAGATCCTGGGTGGTCAGTGCTTCACCTCTCTCCCAGTGTCCAGGTGAAATTTGGGCCCTTCTGGGATGATGTACGTGGTGCCTCAGGTGGGGACACCCAGGAATTCCTTCTGTGGTCAGACGAATACATCACAGAAGCCTATGGCTCGTTCAAGGCTTTTCTACGGTACCTGGTCCTCTGCACCAATCTGGGACGCTGTGTGTCCTTTGGGAAGGACGCGGGCAAGACCTTCTCTGCCTTCCCCAGCCAGGAGGGGCAGGTGCTCACAGGCATCTTTGGCCAGTATGGACTCCTCGGCATCAAGGGCATTGGCTTTAAATGGGATTATCCACCAGTGGAGTCAACCCCCACACCAACAAATGTCACTTCGAAATAGCCAAATAAAAGTTGTTCCTGAGTCCCCAAGGCAGGCTCTAGCATTATATGAGCTGAGGCCATCAGGGGGTGGTGGGATGATCATTCTGGGGTAACTGGATCTAAAGCCACCAATAAATAAAGCTTCTGCAGAATCAGTGCATCTAGATGTGATCCTTGGGTCTGGGTTATGACCAAAGCTTTCCCAGCTCCTGGGGAACAAAGCCCTTGGCTGGAGCTCAGTGAACTGAGCTGAGAGGTAGGACAGAGGTGACTCTCCTGAGCACGTGGGGCCTGTACCTGAATACCTGGGGCCAATCTCACAATCCTTGAGAATTTGGGCTCCAAGACGACCACTCCCCCTGCCCCAGCCCAGGCCCATCCATCCGGCTTCTGCTGACCACACACGGTCCGGCTTCTCTGAGTAGGCTGGGCCCCAGGGAAGCCCCTGTTCATTCATTCCCTCCACAGACACTTGCCAAGGCCTTGTCCATACCAGGCTCCCCTNTGGCAACTCCCCACCACCCGGGACATGCTTCCTGGAGTCCTGGCCCAGCCAGCCTCTCCTCATGGGCGCCAAAGCCCACCAGCGTGGAGTAGAAAGAAGACACGTGATCTGGCAGGAAAACATGCAGACGTGCCCTCCGGCTGGGCGGAACCAGAACACAGGTCTGCTTTGTGCGTCTCCAGGCCCTGCCTCCAGGAGCGGTGCCTGCCAAGGGCTTGGGTCTCTTCCACCTCCACCTCCTCCTAGGGCTCAGGAGGGGCTCTGCTACCCTTCCCTGACCCAGCCTCTGCTGAACTGCAGGCCGGAGCATCGCTGGGAGGGGTGGGGAGGGTTGGGAGAGCAGGTGGGGGCTCGCCTCTGCTACATGGGTCCATCAGAGCCTGAGTCCTGACAAGCCTACCCAGGGTGACCAGAGCAGGAGCAGGACAAAGGGCCAGTTGTCTGGACCAAAGCGCTTCTACCTGGCCCCCAATAAAGGCTGGTTGTTAAAGGGGCCCCATTCACTGTCTGGCCAGCACCATGGACAGGGCACACAAGTTCCAGGGTACGGTACAGGTATCCACCAGTGGTTGGCAGACTTTTCGTGTGAAGGCCACATAGGACAACTCTAGGTTTTGTGGGGTCATAAATCCCTGTCACAGACACTCAATGCCACCTGTGGCATATGTCACAAAATGTCGTTCTTCCTTTGCATTTTCATCTAACAGCTCTAACATGTAAAAAGCATTCTTAGCTCACGGACTGTGCAAAGACATGCAGTGGTCAGGGTTGGCCTGCAGGCCAGAGTTGCCCTCCCTTGGCAGACTGTGCAGGTACCAGGTGCAGTAAGGGAGGTCCCACCTGTCCCTCAGCCCCTCCCCCACCGTCATGCCCGTGAGACCCACAGCCCCAGTTCCCAGTGTGCCAGCACTGGCAGAATCAGTCTGTGCATATACAAGGCCGTTCTCTGCACCCCCTGACCCCACCCAGACTGTCTCCCTCCTGCGATGGATTTCACAGAGGGAGAACCTGCAGGACTTCTCCACGCCTCCGCAGGATTCCAATGTGGCGAGGACACCACCGTGTGTGTGCTTGGTCATCTCTAGGTGGACACATCTGTTATTTCCAATCTTTACTGCTTTCCAAAGAATAACATTGTACACCTGCCCACATGGAGTAAAGTCTTAGGCATTAACAGCCCTTAGATGGAGAAGCTCGTTGGATCCTCAGGGCAGCCCCATGAGTAGGCGCTATCATCACCCACAGGAGCCAGTTGAAGCTCAGAGAGGTGAAGTGAGCTGCCCCTCGTCACGGGCCTGGGAGGTGGGAACGCTGGGGCTCCAGTGCCCTGGGCTGATGGGGAGCAGAGTGGTATTACGCAGCCCGGAGTCCGAGTCCGCTTTTCACAGGGCACCCTCCCAGAGGGGCTGAGGGGGATAAGTGGGGAGGGACAGGGAAACACGTGAACTGCCATACCAGCAGGGCTGCCCGGGACCCAAGCCCTGGAGAAGCACCCATTAGCACCACATAAAGACTGACCCCTGGCCTGGCCCCAGGAGCCCTTGGAGGGACTGGCCTGGAGATTGCCCTCCCCCCAATCCTTTGCCCTGTGTGGCACCAACCCCACCTTTTGTGTCCTTCCCTCCCAGGCCTGTGAGCTCCTAACACTGGTTCATCCCCTGGTACACCCAGAGCCAGCACAGAGGGGTGACCACAGACATTTCCAAGTGACAGGACCTGGAGGACCAGCTCTGCGGTGTGTCTGGCACCTGGCTCCGGGCACAAAGAGCTGGACTCTCCACTCTGGCTCTCTGAGGTCAGTGAGGAGCTCAGCCTGGGCTCCAGAAACCCTCCAGACACCGGTCTGCCTGGGCCTGGATAAGGTCTTCAGCCTGGTTCTGCACAAAGCAGGAGACTGGGCCCCACAGGCTTTCCATGGGAACTTGACCTGCTGCCCCCATGGGTTGAAACCTGTCTGGCAGTGCTGGAGGCTCAGGCCTCCCCCCACCTCTGAAGTCAGGGTCGGCCCAGGTGCTGAGGAGACAACCCAGAGGACAGTGAATGCCTGTTGCTGTCCCAGCCCTGTTTGTGCAGGCTGCAGGGCCAAGACAACCAACGCCACATGTCCGGTGCCTCCCCCAGGACGGCTCGGGGATTCCCCCACCACTCAGCTCCTCCCGGTCCCCCAGTGGCCTCTCACTAATTCCTTTTGGAAGTGGGGAGGATATAAAGGGACAGATGCAGGGCTCCAGGTACACAGGACGTCCCAGTGCACTCTCCCTGCCTGGTAAGGTGCTCAGCTCCCATGGATGGGACCCAGTACGGTCGGGCTGGCCCCACGCTGGGAGTCAGGAGGCCTCTCCTCTTCCCCCAGAGCCTGGGACACGCCGGCCAGAAGCCATGCTGCTGTTGCTGACCCTCGCCCTCCTGGGGACCAATAGCTGCTGGGCAGCACGTAAGTCTGACCGGGTCTGCTCCCCTCTGGCCCATCCGCATGTGGTCACCCTCACCTCCCTCTATCCAGGAGACCCAGGGACTCAGCCCAGCCCCTGTCACAGACTAACTCCAGTCTCAGAACCGTCCTGTCTGCCTGGAGGGGCAGTGTCCCCTGTCCTGGGTGGAGATAGCTACATTCCGCTGTGTGGATTTTTCTCCCCCCGGGTTTTTCCATCCATGCAGAGCTGTACGGGAACAGAGGAGGCACGTATTTCAGTACCTCTGAAGACTACGAATATGAAATCACGGGCATTCGGGTGTCTACAGGTGGTTTGGGCCTGATTAAAAGGTGAGTAGGATCAGGGCTGTGGACCCCATCACCCTGTCCCAATTCATCCAACAGTTTCAGGAACTTAGGGGGTGTGGGGCCACTCACAGCCTCTTTTCCCAACACCCTCATCTCCCTCCTGATGAGTCTTTGGCGATGGTTGATTCCTTGGACTCGTGGAGCCACCAGCCGCCACCTTTGCAGTTGTCCCGTTCCCCAACCACCTGCTCTCCCAATCCTCACCAGCCCCATCTCCTCTGACTCCACCTGTAAGGCCTGCCCTTGCTGCCTGGGGTGATCACAGAGCATTTGCTGACTGTTCTCCTACCTTCCCCTTTCAACCCAAACTCAATTCAACCAAAAACGGCCTCTCAGTGTCGATGTCTGAAGGGAAAATAAAGAGAGGGTCTGTGGAAAGGAGGCAAGGGTCAGAGTGGACCACTGGCTGAGCATGAGTCCCCAGAAGTGTTAGAGGCAGAGAGCCCAGGGCCATTCCCCTAATACTGGGGTGTCCTGCTTCAGGTCTGGAGGGGATCTTTGCTCTGCACTTAGGGGGTGCTGGGTCATGGGAGAGGGAATTGTGCAGAGCTGCCCAACAGGAAAGGAGACGGTGTGGGGGGTGGCGAGCTGGAGGAGGGACGGCTCTGGGAAAGCACCAAGGTGAGGGGAAGGACGCAGATAAGCCCAGCTGGATGGAGCTGTGAGTGTGGGAAGTCACCTGCTTCTGAGGCTTGGGACATGCTCTGCTAGGAGTGACGGGCTCAGAACGTGCCAGCTTGGCTGGGAACAGCTGAGGCTCTGGACCCAGTGAAGCAGCCGGCACCTCCTGAGGGTCGTGATGACCCGGCACTGTGTGGAGCTCTCCTTGCCATGATCTCAGGGACTCCTCCCAAAGTCACATCCCCTTTGTAGATGGGAAACTGAGTCCCAGAGAGGCTGGGTGATGAGCTCAGATCACAGAGCCCATAAGAGGCAGAGTGAGGGTTTGATACCAATGAGTCATCTTAGGAACCCAGACAGCCTCTGAGGCCCAGTAACAGTGTCTGAGATGGAAAGGTGGGGGGCGGAGGACCCGGGAATGGCTGGGTCACCCCAGATCCTGGGTGGTCAGTGCTTCACCTCTCTCCCAGTGTCCAGGTGAAATTTGGGCCCTTCTGGGATGATGTACGTGGTGCCTCAGGTGGGGACACCCAGGAATTCCTTCTGTGGTCAGACGAATACATCACAGAAGCCTATGGCTCGTTCAAGGCTTTTCTACGGTACCTGGTCCTCTGCACCAATCTGGGACGCTGTGTGTCCTTTGGGAAGGACGCGGGCAAGACCTTCTCTGCCTTCCCCAGCCAGGAGGGGCAGGTGCTCACAGGCATCTTTGGCCAGTATGGACTCCTCGGCATCAAGGGCATTGGCTTTAAATGGGATTATCCACCAGTGGAGTCAACCCCCACACCAACAAATGTCACTTCGAAATAGCCAAATAAAAGTTGTTCCTGAGTCCCCAAGGCAGGCTCTAGCATTATATGAGCTGAGGCCATCAGGGGGTGGTGGGATGATCATTCTGGGGTAACTGGATCTAAAGCCACCAATAAATAAAGCTTCTGCAGAATCAGTGCATCTAGATGTGATCCTTGGGTCTGGGTTATGACCAAAGCTTTCCCAGCTCCTGGGGAACAAAGCCCTTGGCTGGAGCTCAGTGAACTGAGCTGAGAGGTAGGACAGAGGTGACTCTCCTGAGCACGTGGGGCCTGTACCTGAATACCTGGGGCCAATCTCACAATCCTTGAGAATTTGGGCTCCAAGACGACCACTCCCCCTGCCCCAGCCCAGGCCCATCCATCCGGCTTCTGCTGACCACACACGGTCCGGCTTCTCTGAGTAGGCTGGGCCCCAGGGAAGCCCCTGTTCATTCATTCCCTCCACAGACACTTGCCAAGGCCTTGTCCATACCAGGCTCCCCTGAGCACTGGGGGTACAGAGAAGAGGCCAGGTGTTCAGCTAAGGAGCTGGCTGCCCCGTGGGGGACAGATGCAGAAGCTGATGGTGGCATCTCATTGTGGCATCTGTATGGATGGGGACACATTCAGGTCCTGTGCACAGGCACTGCCTAGAAGTGAGGTGTGGGGTGTGCTTCAGGGAAGTCTTCCTGGAGAAGGGACGTCTGAGCTAAGTCCAAAGGACAGGGAGAACTGGCCTAGTGGAGGCCGGGGGTGGGGGTAACATTCCAGGCCAAGAGATCAATGTGGGCAAAGGCAAGAGCCAGGGCTGGCTGAGGACGACTCTCCTCACAGTGGGCCACTCGTTGCAGCAGCGACAGGAAACGATCACAGGCCCTGGCCCTGGCCCACTCTGTATCCCCTTCCTAAACCTCGAACCCCACATGAGCACTTGCCACGATCAGAGTTCCTGAGTCCTGCAGGGATGAGGCTTCCAAACATCTTTGACCATGATCTGAAGGAAGAAATTCATCCTACTTGTGGCACAGGAAACGCACACAGCTCTCTACCCTGCACCATCTGTACCCACACAGACCCGCAGCCATCACGGGACGTGCCAGGCCCTGTTCCAGGGGCTCCCCCTGAACTCCCTGCTCACAACAATACGATAACAGGACGTCCATTGTCCCCCTCTGCAGAATGAGGCACAGAGCATGACATGATGTGTCCTAGGTCACACAGCAGTTAGTGGCAGAGCTGGGGTCAACTTGAGGTGGTCTCACTGCAGAGTCTGGGTCCTGAACCCCAGACTGAGTCAGAAATGTCACAACCAGTCCTCGTATTTCTGCAGGAGACACACGCTGACATTGTTCAATTTCATTTCATTCTTATTTAATTTTAATGTTGGTTGAGAGCCACTTCTTAACCTGGGGTCTGTGGACAAAATTTAGGGAACCCAGGAAATGAGTTGGGAAAAAAATTACCTCCTTATTTTTATTGTCCTTTCCTGGAAATGTCCTGTTTCCTTCAGATATGAATGTGACCTCATGCACCTCACGAAAACCCGTGAATTTTCCGTCTCACGCACAGTCGTCACAATCATCTTAAAGCTTCCACTCACTACTATTTCAAAATTATGATTGTTATCAGACTTGCCATTAATGGGGCAATAATCAAAGCATGGGTTTTTATAGGACACATTTTAAAAGAACATTGTGATAGGTGCATCTGCAGGTGCTTTGCAGCAGGAGAAACCCCTTTTCCTCCCACGTGGGATATGAGAAGCCACTGGGGTCTACTGGGGACCTCCCATTGGACCTTCCCCGCTGCTCCTCCAAGCTGGAGGGCCACTTCCCTGTCCCTAGCTTGCTGAAAGGAGAATCTGTCTTCAGTACTGAAGAGACTTGTGACCATTTCTTGGGGCTGGCAGCTGCGGAGGGAGGGGGACCCTGCCTTCTTAAGCCTCCTGGTGTGGCAGCAAGGACGGTCAGGAGCAGGGTAGAGTTGAAGAGTGACAGCTCTGATCCCCCAGAGCAGCCACTGCCTTGTGAGGAGATCCGATGGGGGGTGAGGGAGAAGGGGGTGGCCTGGGAACGGGAGGAGGAGGGAGAGGGGAAGGAAGGGAGGAGCGACAGGCTGGGAGCAGGGAGAGGAGAGGGGCCGGGACGCCAGCTGCAGGCTGTGCGGCTTCATTGCAAAGCCCGGCCTGGCAAAGTGATCCTTGGTCGTGAGGCCGTCCCCGAGAATTCCTTGTGTCCCCGCAGCGACGCTGAGGCGTCTCTGCGCCCCGCCCCGCGCTGAAACACGTTGGTGGAGATGCCGCACTCGTCCCCGGGACCTCGGGGTAAGACTGCGTAGACGGGAGGCCGTCCTGGTGCAAGCCTCAGCCTAGCGCGGGAGAAGGGCTGCGAAAGCTAGGGGACGCCCGCAGCCCACGCCCCTTGGTGACAAGGACCGCGCGGGCTCACATGTGTGCAGAAACTGTATTCACCAGGAGATCACGGCCACTCTGACCGTGCCGCCGCCAGCCCGGGGTCACCTGGTCCCCCAGCCCGCCAGGTGAGTGCACCTGGCCGCGCGGAGGCGGCGCCCTTTGACGCTGCAGGAGGGGCCCGGGGCGCTCAGGGTGCGCTGGGGGACACCCCCACCCCGGCCTCCAGGGAGTGCGACCCTTGTGTGGGTGCGGGACCTTCAGTGGCAGGCCCGGCGTCCTCGCTTCCTCTGAGTCTATTCCTGCCGCGGCGACAGCCGAATGTGCCCTGGACAGTCACCTGGCAGGTGAGACTCCAAGAGCGTGGGACAACTTTCCCACTGCCAGCCCCCTCCTGGGGCCGCATCTTCCGTGGGGTCTGCCCCACGCACAGTTCCCCTCTTTGGAGCCCCGGCTCCTGTCTACCAGAGCGGGGCACAGCAGCCGCCCTGAAAACCCTCCCCTAAGCCAAATGGACCAGCGATGGACCTTGACCCACACTGGACCCGTCATTCTCGGAACCGGAGACCAGCAAGTCAGGCTCTGCTGTGCCTGGTATTGTCGAGTGTGAGCAGGGAGCCCAGTGCAGCTGTGTCCTTCCAGGGGGTCCTGAGAGCAGGGACAAAGGGTGGCCCTGAAGTCTCCAGGCCTGGCCGGGAGCCTTCCAGACTATTCCTAACTCCAGCTTATCCCTGCTCCTACATTCTAAGGCACATCCCAGGTAGGGTTGCCAGATAAAATGCAGGACATCCAGTTCAATTTGAATTTCAGATAAACGATGATTAATTTTTCACTGTAAGTATATCCCATACATGGCAAATTTTTTAGTATAACTACGTGGCAAGTATTGAATTTTAAAAGTATGACTATATCCCAAATATTGCAAAAGACATACTTGCATTAAAAAGTTATTCATTGTTAATCTGAAATTCAAATTGAACTGGATTTACAGTATTTTTATTTGCTAAATTTGGCAGCCCTGACCCAAGACCCTTTGGGAGTTTTGAGAGGACAGGTCACAAGAGGCAAAATCTGGGGGGAGCCATCAGGATTGGGCCCGACTGTCAGAAGGGACTGGCCCTTCGGGGATGCAACAAGGGACCAGCAGGGAGACAGAATTGCCCATTATGAATCAGGGGAGAAGGGGGCAAGACAGAAGCAGGTCTTTCCAGCATGTTCTTTCTTGAGCACTTTCTGTCACTTACCACCAGGGGGCCCCAAGGCATCCAGAACGACGGTGGAGAAGGGACCTCCTGCAGAAGTTCTGTGATCCTTTCTGAACCTTAAGCACCTTTCAGCACCCTCACTAAGATCTGCTCCACCTCTGCCCCGTCCTGTATCATCGTAGGCTCTGTCCGGGGAGGTCAGGCTGGGGAAGTTGAGGCGGGGAGAGTGGTGGGTAAAGTCAGGGATGGTAGGACAGCTCCATTCCAGAGACTCCAGTGATCTGAAATTCTCCCCAGAAAAGCATCCAGGAGTGGGCACATGCAGGAAACGAGCCCTGGAGCCCGAGTCCTACTCACTCTGATGAGGCCCGGGATCCCCTTGGAGACGCAGACCCCCTGGATCTTCCCCTGCTCTTTGCCCCTGATGTAGAAGTAGGAACAGCCTCCTGGGCCCTGCATCTCTGGAGGGGCGTGTTTCACTGGACAGAAAGGGGAGCAGAAAAGTGAGAGAGCAGGAGAGTTCTCGGGAACAATTCCCACATCTCCAAACACTTGGTCCTTTCGCCATCTGGTAGGTGTGTCTACAGAACGTGGGAGGCCAGGGCTACACACCGGCCAGGACCCAGAGGGGGCTGAGGACCAGGGGGCTTACCCTGGGCACTGCAAGAGAGCCAGGATCAGGAACAGCAGCACCCAGAGGACGTGGCCTTGGGGTCCAAGCCATGGGAGGTGGGCAAAGCATCAACAGAGGCTCTGGGGAGGAAACGTCAGAAGGGAGGGGTCAGGAGGCCCCCTGAGTCTGGGTAAAGGGACATGGGGGTTCCTACAGGCTTCAAGGATTTGAGTCCAGGGCTGCTTTCACCAGGGGTCGGGAGACCTGCAGAAGGGCCTGTGCCTGGTGGAACTCTATGATGTCCCATCTTTAAATTCTACATAAGTTTTAACCAAGGGTCCTGGCATTTTCGTTTTACACTGGGTCCCCCAAAGTCTGCAGCTGGTCCTGGAATAGACCCCATATCACGAGCACCCTCTCATCCCTGCTTCTTGATTCAGTGTAGAGATGGGTCAATTCATGCCTTTTCTGCCCCTCTGGCCAGTCTGTCCTCCCAAGGCCATGCTGGGACCTGCCAGCCCCTGGGCCCTCCCTTCATTGAGCTGCGCTACGTGGTCTGATGTTTTAGAAATGTGAATTTGTTTCCAAGTGGCTGGCATTTTAGGAAACAATTTGAACAGTCTTGCTTATGCTTGAGTTCCTCTGGAGAAATGCTAAGTGAACACAGAAAACTGTGTCCTTGTAGGAAAGATGCGCGGGCACATGTGTGTGCACCTACCACCCCCAAACATCCACCAGCCACATCCAGCCACCCTGGCTGATTCCTGACTGATTTTCAACAACCCTCCTTCCACAATTACCCACAGGCTGCAGCCTGTCTGATGCCCATTGCCAAGCAAACTTCTGGTCTTCTTCTAAAACATGTGGACTTGTCCTTTTACTCTGGGGAATTCTAGTTTCAGGCTTCTGTTGGAATGTGGGTCT